CATTTTTCATTCCTAAGGGAAAGGCTTGAGGATGATAACAGCTGTCGGCCTTTTCTGTTCAGATAGCCCTCTTCACGGCCGGGCATGAAATAGTTCGTCAAAGGTCAACTGCCGGGCTCAGTCTGCAAAAACAAAGCTGTCGACTCCCGCAAGCGACGTGGGGTAAAAATCCACGGCGTGCATTTACGTAACATCCAAACAGCCTAAGTTAATATATTCTCCTTAATCACCTAGATGAACAAAAATCCCTTGTAAAGACCACCACAATTACCGAAAATTCAATAAACTTAATGCGCTACCAAAGAACAATCACAAAAGGCGGACATAAAACACTGATCACAAGCTCGTGTCAATGCTGGCAAATTGCCGACTTCTGATTGGCTATTGTTGAACGTCCGCTTGCGTAATGAATTGATTTTTCGCAGGTTCCGTGCTATGCAATTGTTTTTCGCGCGAACTTGAATAAACGAGATTGTTTACCCAGATATTAGCCCTTCAGCTTTTGGAAAGTTTATGAAAGTGAATCTTGAGATTTCACTGTCTTCTTGCCAACGAAAAAAGTATTTGGTAGAAAAATCAGAAAAAATAAAAGCGAATTACCATGACTCGGCATTACTGTCATCAAATGTATCATTTGACACATGTGATTTAACAATAACAAATGGCTAGTCAAAGGTTTTTTTTAACTTTTCAGTTGTTACAACGTTGATCACGAAAGTGATGAAACTTCTATCAATACAATCTTATTTCCATTCTGTCAAAGGAGATATCAACACTAGACAACATCTCTACCTTAATTAGTAGTACTAGCAAATCAACGTTTTCTATCGCACGATCGGCAGAGTCCCATAGACTATATATTCTTTTGTCCATGACATCAGAATATCAAGAAATGGAATACCAAGGCTGAGAAATTATTGCCTTTTGTCACGTCTCACAGATTTTCAAATTATGAAAGGATCATCAAACAAGATTTCCTGTATCCCTTGGTTAGATGAGCTAATACTGATACGACCGACGAAAAAGTAACCCAACTTGTATTATCAAGTTTGTCCTCATTCCACAATAAGAATTATGCTTGTCTCTCGAAATTTTGCATCTTGCCTCCGATTATTTCGAGAGCTGTTTACAAAGGGTTTTTTCTAATTTTTCTCTTTGAGCCTCTAGCGTTCCCGACTCCTTTTGTGTGCCGCTTTTTATACACGTGACGTCTCGCGACTCCCCCTGATTGGAGGGCTTGCTCCCTGGCCCACAATAAAAATTTCTTAGAGTAGGAGAATAAGGAGATGCCCCTCGGACATGGAATATTAAATTGTCCGGGGGGTACTCTAGCAAGAACCCTGACCAACAAACCCTGCAAATTGACTTCCTATTTTAGCCAGGCATAAAAAAATCCTGGGGGGGTACTCCCTTACAAGGGCTTAATGGGGATGTGCGGCCAGCCAGGGTATGTTTTTCGGGATTTTTGTCTTAAACAGGGTATCGAATCAGGAGCCCATGATCGAATTTATCATTTTTTTGTCTTAATCAGGGTATCGATTTATCAATTTTTGTCTTAAACAGGATATCTTTTCTTGGACTATAAACAGCAAAATTTTTACAAGCTCTAATGTCTTAAATAGGGTATCAAAAATCGGAATTCTGTCTTAAACAGAGTAGGAAAATCAGCGATATTTGACTTAAACAGGGTCAGGGCACGAGGGGCCACGCCGTACCTCCCCACCCAGGGATATATCGAGTACCCCCGCCCCCGCGGCCAAAAAATCTCTACCTAGACAACAATCTTCATACTATGTCTACCATGCCTACGGATAAGTTTGCCACAAATGATTCCTCAGAAGATAATCCTCTGATTTCTATATCCTATCCCAGGCTAAACTGCTTGAATTGAAAATCCTACTTTTCACAGCCGCACACACTTATATGGTCCATATATTACGGTCGTGCCCTCCCCCCAGGTCTCTATCGACCTTTATTGTGAGTTTCCTGGGAAACTTACTCTGGAGGGAAATATTTGGTTGCTTGGTGGCCCTAAAATTGATGAGACTGCTAAATAATGAAGGGACTACATGGGCAAACAAGCAAGAAACAAGGATAAGCAGTGTATCATGACTATTAAAAATGGTAATTGAACTGAGTCCAATACGAGTGATTAACAAACTCCGCGGGAGTCTGATTTGGTTTAGTCTTTGTAATCAGGAGCTAGTATGACTCCAGACCGAACTATACGACTCGAAGTTCTGTTAACAATTTTTTTTAAAAAATCATTACTATGACAAAATTTGTGATATTTTGAGCTTTTTCAAAAACAAAATGAGATCTTTCGATAGCTTTTTGCCAGAAGTGAAAAGTGCGCGCGCATTGGAGCGTCCTGTCTTATTACATTTCGTCTTCATTAAAACAGCCTTCATGATAAAACAGTAATCTTGGCCTGCTTCAATTCGATTTCAGCCATGCATAAAATCATTGTGCGACCAGTTTGAGGCTCGATTTTTCTCGGTTCTATTTCGTCCACAAAGCAGTGAGTGAGTAAGAAGAGGAGGTGATTTTTAAATCCACTGTCGTGTCAAATAAGGACCGGAAAGTCTTTCTTTGTCGCAGCTGAGTTTTTAATTCGTTGCTTAGGACCGCGTATTCCGACCACCAATTAATCGTAGACACAATTGAGTATCACTGTTCTGAGTGTGGCCACAAACCACTTGGTGAGTCATTAGAGTGTTTGATCGATCAATACCGACGAGAGTAAACAAAACTCAATATCTTTTGAAGAAACTCATTATCACGCAAAGCGTTTATTCCTTTGAAGATAAGGTGCTCTATTGGCAACCTAGCAGAGCGTTTCTGCCTTGAATAGGATGTTTGAATTGCTAGAGAAACACTAAAGACCTGAACCCTTCAAATTCAGGCTTTCAGGCACTGGGTACCGGTAGGGAAATCTGTTTTTCCGTTGGTAAAAAAAACCTACAAAGGCTGATGGAAGATTTTCTGGCAAAGTCTGGCAAAGTGGAGAAAATTTGTTTTCTTGGTTTTGTGATTTTTTGATATTTTAAAGACAGTGAATTTGCAGCAGTTAAAGGGGATGAAACGTTCTAAACTAGGTCTGTGAAAGGCGTACCAATGGTCAGTGGAAGATATACAAAAGGAGCATCTTTTCTTTCAAAAATAGTATATAAAATTAAAGAGTAAGGGGTTGGACCTTCAGGTGGAGCCTTCCCACATAAAACTTTGTTGAGTACCGTGGAAAAATTCTTCCCGACAACGAGAGCTTTGGGTCGTGGTACTGATGTTTTTAATGGACCTTGCTACCTTTCTAAAAAATGATTGTGTTAAAACTGTAAAGCAGTGGCGTTAACATTATCATCCTCGGGGACCCAGGGGCAGTAAGTCGGGCCGGGAGAAAAAATGCGACGAAAGTTTTCAAGCATGGGCGGAAGAGCCCCTGGATACCGACTCTCACCGGACCATTTCCAAACAGTCAAGCGAATGCTGGCTCCTGATTGGACACAAAAAATGCTTTGTATTATTGAGCCCAATAGGCGAACAGCATCTCCTGAGTTCTTTTCGTGAGTTCGTACACGACGGCTATTGACTCGATCACGGCTTGTCTGGCTCATGCACCAGAGAAATGCACGCAGTCCGGAAACTTTCAGGTTGACATAAACTCTCCATTTTAAAATACTGTCTACCCAAAAACTAAGACGCTTTTCCAAAAATACAAGCTTGAGCTTACAACAGGTATTCACGCTTTCATCGATCACGCCTTCGTAAATATTAGGGTGTTTAGTACGTCACGACAGCTGACAGCCAAGAAAACGTTGCATGAAAACTGAACTCAAATTTTTTTCAGTCTCTATCGCGGTTATTCCAACTCGTTTACTTTGTAAAATGCAAGCGAACTCTTTTGGAGCTGAATTTCTATCAACCAAATTGAAGTTCATAAAGCCGGGCGAGAAAGAAAATTTTGTCATTGCTTGTTTACGTCCTTCACAAAACGTGAAATTAGGCATTTTCACATGGTAGTCGTGCAGTGGAGGCAAAGAAAAAAAAGCGTTATGCACTTGCAAAGTTGTTGTTTTGCCTAGTCAAGCTATTGCTTTTTTTACTTTCTCGTCGCCGCTGGATCTGTTATTTACGATACATTGTTACCCATCAGAAGCAGAATTTTCTTAGTGCAAATTGAATTGCTCCTGCTGATAGTATCCGAAACGTTTTTCGACTCATCGGTAGTTCCTTCGTTTTTGGTTATAGGAAAGCTTGGTAAACGACCGGGCAACTGTGGCGAGATAATAGCCGTCGTGTACGAACTCACGAAAATAACTCAGGAGAAATGTTCGCCGATTGGGCACAATAATACAAAGCATTTTTTTGTGCCCAATCAGGAGCCAGCATTCGCTTGACCGTGTGGAAATGGTCCGGTTAGAGACGATACCCAGGGGCTTTTCCGCCCATGCTTGAAAACTTTCGTCGCGCCTTTTCTTCCGGCCCGACTTACTGCCCCTGGGTCTCCGAGGATGTAACATCATATCGTCAATAATTCGCTCCAAGTTACTTTAGCAGCGCTCATTGGTGGTGATAGTGTTTGATATTTGTTAAATCGCCCGAGAAATCTAGGCTTATTTCACAGAGACTGTTAAGTCCCAAAGGTGGTTGCTCGAACCCGAAGAGTTTCGAACGAAAACATCACAATTTCTTAAACTGTGGATGCTGGCGCCATCAAATAACCAGAAAAATAGTAAAATCACAAGAATAGATCTCAAGCCTGCCTGGCAAGGCGATAAAGAAAATACTCAAAATTCCACAACGAATGGTTGGTCACCTGTAGCCTTTAATTAAACCTTGTAAAACTGTACATAAGATAAAATTTAAGAGCTTTTCACTCACATTACACCATCTATATACCCAAGTTATTTACACACGGCTTCGGAGAGGAGGACTTGACTTGGTCTCAGTGTATACCACAAAAGACTGCCCCACCCGGAGATCACAATAACTAACGTGTTCGATGGTATGGATTCACAGTGGTAGAAGCCGCGGGTGAAGTTCACATACAAGGGGAGATTGAGGTGGCTTTTGTCCATCAATAGTCTCTCTAATGATATTCCTCTGATGACTAAGAAAGCAGCAATGAAGGAAGGACGAAAATGGACCGCGGTGTCTCGGAAGTGCATCCCCTTATGAAAAACAGCTTACTCGCTCATTCAAGCATCGTTTGAATATTTACAGATTTTTTACAGAGAAGGGGCATGATGAAAAATCATTATTTCTTTCAATAGATATTATTTCGGAATTAGAAGAGCAGATAATGCATCAAAGAACTTTCCACGATCTTCGCTCTTCATTTCAATCACTACAATAAAAATGAAAGGACAGTCTGTCAGTAGGAAAACTAGAGACTAACTTTAGAAGGTATTACAAGCTAAGTGAAATCTCCTTATGGGCCTAGTTACCAACCGACCAGAACAGCAACGCAAGTCTTCAATGCTCTAATGTGATGCACGAGATTTTCAATTAAATGGCTTGTGCACACGGCAAAGCACTTCAGAGTTCAGTTACTTTGTCCATGACTTGAAGACAGTCAAGTCCAACCCGCTCTGCTGACCCCCGCGTCTCATTAACTTGCTCGGATAAACTCCCAGCGGCAGGAACAGTTTACCTGGGCGTTCAAAGAGCGGAGCAAAAAAAAAAAAAGACCCCGCGCCTTTTTCTTTCCTGTTTAGTTTATGTCCCAGTGATGTCAATGAACAGCTGAAACAGGCCATCGACGAGAATAGAAATTCTTCTCTCCCAAGCTTAGATCCTTTAGCGTTCGCGCGTGTAGAATTTTTACCTCAGTCGCGAGGGTCTTCCACGCAACATGCCTTTGTAGTAGCGAGCTTGAGGGTTGAAAACGTCAATTAAATGAACATGCATATAACTAAACCTGCAGTTGAGACTAAAACATACCAGCTGGGTCAAAGTGGTCGTGAATTGTCCGTGATTTTGTTTTACTGGCAGCCATTTCAAAGGCTTTTCCAAGAAAACTAAAAGAGAAACAGCAATAACGAAGGTTTAGACTCGAGAAAAGAGTTTCAGGGTCAATTTTAAAACGTTGCTTATTACGTATTTTGTGTCTTCCACAATAAGAGTTGAGTATTACAAATGACTCTCCTGGCTAAAATTCTGACCTGAGTTCAAGACCAATTTTAGCAGTTTTCATACATTCTCTCGTGTTCGCTCTACTACTTGCCCAATTGAATTTTATTTTCCAAGCGAAACAAAAAATAGCCCCTGCGCTAGGCATTATACACAAATTTTCCTTCTACCCAACATGCGGGAGAGTTGAAACGATGTGTAAAAACATTACAAGTACAATGAAACCCCGCCTTACGGCCACTTTTGTTGGCCGCCTGGCAAAATGGTCATACCCGGATTTTCTCGTAAAAAAAACCCGTTAATACTATCACCCGTTAATAAGGCCAATTTCTTTTTGGCCCATTGGTGACCGTATCAACAGAGTTCCACTGCATTTATAATCGAATTCAAGTTTCACGAGTCGAAGTGATTGGCGTTTGTATTCAGGCACTTGGTAGATTAGTTAGGATATACTGCGGTACTTGCACACTTACTTTTTGCCTGAATCATCAGCGATGGGAGGAATTCCCACCAAAAGACAAGTCCCTGAAAGAGTGACAACAACAAATGAACTGAGCGGGACTCTTTACAGACGTTTTTATTACACAAGTCGAGTCTTAGGTTACTCCTCCTCCAAAACATGTGTTGCAATTTAAAGGGCACTTACCTGTTGTCAGAACTGGCGGGCCAGACCGATGCAGTTATCAAGATCAGTTTATTCCTACGTGCTATGCAGGGAAATGATAGTTTTAGTGAAAATTTCGAGAAAAGACTACTCCTTCGTTTTCAAAATGACAGGTCAGGCTGGCCAGCTCTGACTTTTGATAAGCGCCCTTACTCTTTAGAGCATGCGACCGACCGGGTCTTTGTTGTGTCGAATGGCACTATGGGACTGTTTCGTAAGACGAATTTGGACCCAATTTCTCGCGCAACTTCGTTATAGGCAATAAAAGAAGCGAAGTATGCGTTCCCAAACAGTACCATTAAAGAGGTTAAACTTGAACTTAGAGCTTTAGATTTGAGGAAGAGAACGAGTACGAGTCAGGACGAGATTTGACTTAAAGTTTTAGCGCGTGTTTTCAAAAACTGTAAAAGACATCCCGGAAAGTTTCATTTTACTTTTTATCACCAAAAAAGTTAGTGCAGTTATTTATACTGAAGGAGGTTAAACCCTTTCTCGATAGCAAAATGATCAAACTTCTTACATTTGATAACTTGTTTCCGCCACTGCGACCTCGCTAAAACTCGTAGTAGAATGACGACGGCTATCACGTTTTCCCGCATAAAATGACACTGGTTCACGCGTGAGCAATACTCATTATTGAGAAAATCTCGTACTCGTAGTCGACCTCGTCTCAGAATCTAAAGCTCTCCATTGGGCAATTCAACACAACACCGAGCTAAAATCCTAGACAGAATAAAATAGAATGGCAGACCCCCTTTCCACCCTAATCAAAAATGAAGGCGCGCGACGGCCAAAACATTTTTTTATCCTTGATTTGGAAGGAGGAGGATAGAAATTTTCTGTCTATACATCCAAGATTGACCTCAGAACGGCCAGTAGCACAAATCTTTAGATAAGAACATGCAATAAATATGGGAAAGGCAACAGCGCGATTCTACAGTTCATCAACCACGTTGCTCCAACAAACAGAGGATTACCAAAAAAAAATATAACACAACTGTTAGACAATATTATGAAGTTTTAAAGTTTAAATGCAATAAAGTCAGTGTGTATTTTATCAGCATAAATCATCCCAGCCTAGAGGTTGGGTAAACCATTAGGTTATCAGACTAGCTGATCCCCAGCCAGCTCTATAAACACACAGAGACAAAGCGAAACGATTGAAAACAGCATGGACACTTTTGTCCGTCTGAGAGAAGAAACAGGATTTCCACCCGCTCTTCACGAAGTCAAGTTCTGTATATAGTTACTATCCATACCTTTTTCTGGATCCAAAGGAGCGGCAAGAACAAAAGGAAGAGCAGCTGCTTTCTTGTTCTTTGACTTCAAAAAAAAAGAAAAGGAGCATACGGTTATAGTAAACAAAAAAGCCTCATTTATAGCCAGAGACAGACATTTTATAAATACCGTACTTCCTCTAATAAGCGCCCTCTCCCAAATAAGCGCCCCCCTCCCCTCCCCGTCACTTTCTTAAATAGTAGGGATACAATGGAAAACCAGCTTCTACTGCCACTTTATTTTTAACTTTTTAGGCTTCAACTACAGTAAAAGAAAGTAAAGAAAAAAACCGGTAGTTTCTTTTGCATTATGTTACTTCCAGTTATTCCTATATCCATGTGCACGCTTGCAGAGTTCCGTTATGAGCGTTATCTCTACTTTTAATTTTTGTCCTATTGCCGCTCTCTTGGTAAATGCCGTCAACTTCCCAGGAACAACTAGACCATGATCTAGTTCATTTAAAGGAAAACGTAATAAGCACCCCCCCTCTTCCATTACCGCCCTCCTTCGAATAAGCGCCCATTCTTTGAGCTGAAATTTGAAATAAGCGCCAGGGCACTTATTCGCTGAAATAGGGTATGTTCAATTGAATCATGGGATATTTCACAACAAAATTTCATTACCATAAAGAAAAGAGCGCCGACTGAAACAGAAAATAAATCGCCTACATACCATTGCGACATAAGCACTTAATACAAATCGCGCTAAAGCTCCAAGAACGGCGGGTTTACTGAACATGTTCAAGTCAGGTATGCCCTACAACAGTAAGAAAATTTCATAATTGTAACTATAAAAGTCTGATGAGGTTTACACTACTGATAGGTTGACGGCAAAGACGGAGGGAAAAAGTCGGGTAAAAAGTGAGGACTCAGGAAAAAAAAGTCGGGAAAAATGTCAGGGCGCAGGCAAAACTTCGGAGGAGATTTGAAATTAAAAGTGTAATTTAATGGCACTTAATAGGCTCCGTGGCAAAGCCTAATGTGTTTTGAGGCAATTTGTACTGAAAATCAATGCAAAGAGGCAGTGACACATTTTAGTTCAATGAACTCGGAATTGCACGGTTTTTTCTTTTCTGTTTTCATAACTTACCATCTAGCAGATAGTAAGAAAATGTCATAGTTAAATAAACGGCTTGGAAACTAAAATTTCGAGGACGTTTTTGGACTTTTTACATTTAGGGCATGAATTTTTCGTCATTTCAGGCCATGAAACCTAAAAATGAGCCTAGCTAGCTGTAAAAAGGGGCAATACGGAGGCAATACGTCCTAGCCGGCATGATCACATGCTGTTTACGGAAAATTCCCTCATCCATGTCAGGAAATTCTGTATTTTAAAGCCTCCCCTAGGGCATGACTCAGCAATTGAGGACATTTCTGCTACGTTTTCAATGTTGGTTAGCATGCAAGGATTTTTCCCATGCCTATCGTCAATGATTTGCTCACTGGTAATAGAGGGGGTGGCCCCAGAGTGGTTTTGCATTGAAATTGGCATGCAACAGAATTTCGCATGCCCTGTAAGCATAATTTGAGGTTCTGTGACCTTCTCACCCAGGCCGCGAGAAGCCTAGGTTCTAGTAATAAGTAATTCATACCCAGCAAAATCCCCGGCATGCCGGGCATGCCAAATTTTCTGACATGCCCGGCATGCTAAATTCTCTGGAATGCCGGGCGTGCCATAATCTGGGTCATGCCGGGCATGCCAAAATCGGTCTCTGGCATGTTTCAACGCACAGGTTATAATTCCTTGAATCTACAGATATTTTAAGCCTGGCTAAAAAAAAAAAATAAACAGATCACAGTGCTTATCTTTTGATGTACGGTTACACGATGACGTCATTGCTATTCCTTTCATTTTCATAGATTTGGTTGTCCCAGCGAAGTTTAAATAACAAAAGCTCTAATTTTCACAAGAAAGTAAAACCCTGAGGGATTCTGCCGAAGTAATAAAACAGCGTCATCGTGGAGATGACCTGTTGGGGGATTGTAAAAACTCCTCACCCCTTTTAATGAGTCTTTAATAGGATTCCCATTTCACATTGCGAATAAAATGGAATTGACTGAAATCAGTAAAAAGAGAGACAGAGACTATTTTCATTGTATAATAAAATGCATCTATGTTCCATGAAAGCTTTTAAAAATACAAGGTTATAGAATATCTTTCAAAGTTCATTACAAACTGAGCTAAGCCCCAAAATCACTGTTCATTATTCAGTAAATTATGATGTTTGACAATGCAATGTGCTTGAATATAACGTTGCAATTACAAATCTCTCGAACGCAATTTTCCCTACGTTAGAAAAGCTCTTTTTATCTTGTTTCACATTTTGATAAGGAGTCTGAGTTCCTCTTTCTTGTTTTGTAGGCTTGCCAGGGATTAATGTTTTTTTGTCATTACCAGTGTCTGTGTTCTTCGTTTTTAACTCAAAGTAAGTCAGTAATAACTGACGGTATCAAAGGATTGCTCTCTAGAAAAGTAATTATCTCCTCGTCATGTCTGGAAGTTACCTGTAACAAAAAAGAAATGGAATCTTAACACATGCAAGGGCAATATGAAAAAAAGAAATAGAACATGTAGAGCTCAGCTTCTCTTAACATATTTTCATACTGGCTTGTTGAGTCTGTTAAAGGTCGCAACTAATTGTCTGAGGCTAATTTCACAAGAGTGTGCAATTGAGATAAATACATGGTAAATAAAGTGAAAGAAACGTGGTTTCACATTAGCCAATTTACATTGCGCTGTTCGATGATGTTTACACGCTTTTCTACTGCGAAATAAACCTTTGCATTTGGATTTGCAAGTCAAGATTATACCGAGTTTGACTGACACTTAATTGAACAACAGTTTCATTTTTAAGCAGGCAATTGGGGTGTAGACCCATATAAAGCCGGAATATGTAAAGGAAACTCAGCGAAAACTTTTTCGCATCTTTTTGTGGCGATATTCTTTCACGGCCCGTCAACTGATTAGGGGTTGCGAAGAAAAAATAAATTAGGACCAAAGGTTAAAGCCTGTCCGGTTACATCATTTCGTATGTTACCTAGAGTTCTAATAAATAGGTCATAAAATAGGATTTAACGAGAGCGAATTTGTTTCTCAATCGGTGTATAAAAAAGTGAGGCTATCAAATGAGAAGTTTATAGAGTATCAAAATTATTAAATTAAAAGCTCATTTAATTAGGAAAATTCCTATACGAAAACAATGCTAGTGACATTAAATTGATCAGATAAAATTCTCAGAAAATATGTCCAATAAAAGCCTCATTATTTGCTTTTGTTTTTGCGTAAAGGTAAATTTTTCGGCCCACAAAGCAAAGTTGAAAAAGCGACTAAATCTTAGTTTTTTACATTGAACATGTTTATTAGCTTAGTTTTCGTCCGTTTTAAAAGCTTTATAACCCAATCATAATTTTCGGGTTAAAATATTACAAAATCATTTCAAAAACCATGTTCATTTAAAGTAGAGCCGGCAAACCTGAACATTTTGTAATTCAAAAGTCGGACCCAGCCAGGTTGTTTAAGCTTAGAATTATTTGCATTTTAGCGTCCTATAAATTTACCAGAATCGCCTCTCAGAGGCTTACTGTAGCAAAGCATTTTGTAGTACACTCGTAGACAAGCAATGTAAGCCTTAAGTCTTTGCTTGGATGAGATGTCCAAAAGAAAAATTAGTTTTGTGGACCTAAACGCACATTCACAGACTGCTTATATTGAGTTGTTTACAACTTTGCATTGACACGCGCAGCATGTTCATTTTTTTAAAGCGAAATCCAAATCTGATTTTGGCATTTGATTTACGGATATTTTATTTTGTCTCCAAAAGTGATTGTAATATCCGTTTGATTGTCTTTCAAACAACAGTCAAACTATGCAGCAAAAATAAGTAACTTTACCAGTACAGTGGAAAAATATGACCGTAGGTGCCAAAAATAATTATACTCGAGCTATAAAATTAGAACTGACTTTTTTTAGCTTTGGTTTCTTATTTTTGAAGTTTTCTCTAGTCTTCTTAGCAGCAGAAGAAGATTACAAGACATACAAACAGAAACAATCCGAAGTGAACAAGTTGACAACCACTTATGCCGGAGTTCTTAGGCATGCTCAACAGCAAGATAAACTGAATGCCAAAAGGATAATTCACGGGATTTGTTCGATATTCAGGCTTTTTCTTTACCAAATTAATACTAAATTTGTACTTACAGTCTCTCGCAGAATCCATTTCTTGTCCAGCATTCACCAACATCTCAACCATGCACCGCAGAAAAAAAAGACAAACAAGTGCGAAGAGACATGACGACATCGTGACGCCACAACTGCCACGCTACAACAAACTAGATTCCTCGTCATCCGCGAAAACACTTCTGCGGAAATTCGGCCGATTTCGTGCGTGCTCGGGGTATCTTCGGATGACGCAGATGACGTTGCTCAAAGGACTATCGTCAGCAAGGAGTAAAACAGTTTGCGAGATTCGCATAGCCGACAAGGAGCGCACTGAAAAACTAAGCAAAATCTCTCTGAGAAGGCAGTCCAAATTCACCAAATCAGAACGTCTTTGCAGTATTAACGTCGTACTCTCGTACTGACTTGAACGACCTGGTAAGCTTCATTTTCACCAGTCTTTTAATGCTGTTGACCGGGAAACATTCCGACACGATAAAACTTAAGCATGGATAAGTTTATACTGAGAAGATTTGTTATCTTATTGTTTAAGACGCTTTTCCGCGATCAAATTTAAATGTGGACCCAGAAATGTCAGTATCGGTTTGAAATAAAAGGATTAATCTTTGATTGCAAGTTAAGTATTCTATTTTATGTATGAATAATGTTGTTTTGTTGTGCTTTTTATTTATAAATCCAGGCTTCTGTCTTCAGTTTTGCCAGTCGATCCCGTGACACACATTGTGACAAACATGACTTTTTTTGTTATAATCTGCATTTATTGCCAGGCATGAAACCTGTAACTTCAAGCTCCCTAAGATATATTTGGCGATTATATGTGATTCTCAGGATATGATGCTGAAGCGAACATCAAAATCAGTCTCGCTGGGCATGCCAATTTCTTGCCTGGCATGCCGGGCATGCCAAACCAACTGGCTTCACCATCGGCATGCCCGGCATGCCAAACCAGAGGAGCTAAAACTGGGAATGAATTATTAACCCGGCGAGAGATCTGGGACCTAAGTTTAGCTGGGTCAATTTTGGGCTGCGAGGGCATGAACCCATTTTTTCCATGCCTATGAGATGTTATTTCTAAGTACCAATGTTCCCTTGAATTTTGTCATGCCTAAATAGACAAAATTTTCCCTCTCTCATTAATCCTCAGGCTGGATGCGATTTTTACGCTCGGTAGGCATGTTCAACTGAAAATCATGCCCATACCCTTATTCAAAACAAAATGCTATCAAATTTTAGTTTCCAAGCCGTTAATAGCATAAAGCTAGGCCCAGTTCAGTTCTGCGTTTCTGGTATGAATCTCCCCAGACTAATTTTTCTGATCGTTATTCCACTTCCGCTTTCTAAATGGGTTCACCTTGAAGAACGGAGGTTAGGAGAGGTCGTTTTAATTTTGGAACCACTCAAGACAATTATGCAAAGAACTGGTCTCCATCGCATGCAGCCGCTAGGCCAGGAGCCACGCAATGCTCCCCGCCCCTACGCGTGGAGCATTGCGTTACTCCGTCCCTAACGGCAGCGATGGACAGTAACAAACAACAAACGCTCTTTTTACAATTGTCCGCAGTAAGAGGGGATCGCCTGCCAGCCATCATGGCTCTACTCAATCTCCTCCTTACCCACCTCTACTCTCAGTCTTGTAAGTTATTTTTATAACACAACGATGCTGCTACTCTAATCTCTATTCCACCGATGCCCTCAATATAAACCCGTTATTATGAGTTAACAGTGACCGATATCGTTTTATGTGCTACTAAGTAGTACCTCTCTGAGATGTGAGTAAAGAAAGTGTCCAGCGCACATCACTTGGTGCATATCAATTAATGATCGTACTTGATTTACAACAGCAATCAACTGAAAGAAGATTAAGAAGTTAGAAATTGCTGAGTTGCTTCGGTGGGCTAGTGCATGAAAGAAGAAATAAACTCTCTCTAGTGAGACAGATAAGTTGCGCTTCGTAAGGATTCAAAAGTTAACGTTTTGAGCGCAAGCACCTTACAAATGAATCACTCTTTTGTCAGAGTAACTCGCTTTGAGGATAGGCTAGCACAGCCCAAAAGAGAATGTCTTTTCACGGGCTTAGTAGGTCGCTCTCATTCCTTTAGTTAAGATGCAAGGGGAAATTTAGTATAAGCGATATGTATTTACGGGAACCGCGTCCTTCTTCTTTATGTGAGGGCGTGTCTCGTGATAGATTTTTCCAATGGAGCTTTACGAGAGCGGGAATCAAGGACAAATTTATTTCGAATTTTTTTACGCGTTAAGTAAGGAAAATTTAGGAAATACTGCACTAAAGTTGAGACTTGCCTGCTTTTTTGCCATTTCAATACCATCTTGAAGCTTTTCACTGTTGGACCTGAGCATAAATAATGGAAACGTAAGCACAGAACGATAGCACAGAGCGAACTAAATACTGTTGGGTTGAATTTTGCGACAGCACATAACCGACCTCAGGAAACCTTCCATGCTTTTCGCCATAATCCAAGTGTTGCAGCGCTATGCTTGGCATAATATTTCCACCCAGCAGAGATACTGTAGATGCGGTTTTTGCCGCAGCTCTGTATTTTGACATTACATGCACAGCAACCAATGAAAGTTGAATTAACTTTTTGCAACTTGCAAGAAGTTCAACCTTAAAGTATTGTACTAGTGCTGGCAACTTTGGAAAATAGGGATACTTTTGAAGATCACCTGGTTGGTACGCTTGAAGAACAGACGGCATGTTGATCGTGGACTTTAAACTGAATTCCCAATTAAAGACCACACAACATTTTCAGTCAACAGATGAAATTGACTGCAATAAGAGAAATTTCCCAACTTAAGATTGTCAACAGCCTCTTATTTTCCTTCTAAAGTTACAAGAGTACCACTGGGAAACGTTTTAGTATACGCAAGCCAAGAGAAACGAGGGAGTAATATTTTGTTTGTTGTTTTACGATAGTGCTCGCCAGGAGACTCGCTGGGATTAGTAACTTTAACTTTTTTAAGGCGACGGGTTTAAAGTGCAAACCGGCAGTCTACTGCTACATGCTCAACGATATTTTCAAAATTATATTATAGGCTTCTTTTCTTCTCCGTGTGTTAAATTATGTTTTGAGAAACCAACGAAAAAGCCGCCACCACTCCAGAAGCGCAGAAAAATCGGGCATCTTAACACTCCGCATTATTATTAGCTGTAATGATATCCGAGTATCAGGACTGAGCTTTCCCGGCTTACCTTGATAGAGCATCTAGTGCCTCCAAGAAATTGTCCCATTTTGTCATTCCCTCAGTCTGTGCCAATAAAAAAAAGTAGCATTTTCTTTAATTGTAACTCCTGATTTGCTTTTGCCTGGTGGTGTTGAAATGCGTTAAATAGCAAACAAGAAATGAAAACAGTCATAGCTGCATTGATTTAAATCATACCGGAGCCTCCAAAAGAGAATTCACGGCGTAAACAACATCGCTTGCACACAGCTGAAGAGAAAAGATGACAAAGTCAAGCAACATTAAAAAGATACATTAAAGGACTAACATGTCAGCATAAGAGCTACTACCCTGCTAGCAGAGTCGCTTCCATCTTTCCTAGATAATGGAAAGATCGAAACGACTGTGCTAGCAGGGTAAAGAGCTACGTAGATTCACATAAAATATTTCATCCTGTTACCTTGTTTTTGAATCCGTATTGAACATGGAATGATCCGTAAGACATTTCGTCCAACCTTAAAAAGCATTACAAAAAGATAAGCATCAAATGAATTCTTAGTTTTGCTATTTCAAATCCAGCCATTTTCCGACTCAGGATTTTATTAATTAATACCGGTTCTGCTGCTTTTTTGTAAAGTAAAATCCAAAAACCCATACCATCTTTATTAGATTAAACGCTACGGCGTTTATTTAATTTTTAGCGTTTCCGATGCGGCGTTCATTCAAGGGCGACGTTTATTTAAAAATCACATTTCTTAACTAATAAAATATGGATAAATCATTTGCGAATAATACCGCGGTATGTAAAACAGGAAGATGTGAAAAGTAGATAGTGCAAAGTTGTACAAAGTTTTTCCTTTAACCCTCCAATAATTATCAACCCCGTATTCTTCTGGTTGGGTGCGGCGTTGACTCTAGAGATGAAGCGTTGAATCGAGTTAATGTGTTTTAATGTGGTATTCGTTTAAATAACAGTTCAGTGTGCCTACCCAAACTTGTCTGCTGATGTTTCAACCCAACCCTTCAAGTTGTTCCTCAAGTCAAAATCCATGCTATAAAACTTTTGTCGGCTCTGAACCAGGGGGATTCTGGAGGAAAAGTAAGTTCAGAAAAAAACTAAATCAGCCTCCTCAAATAATCAGAAATCAGGGTTAACCTTATTGCAGTTTTCATGGCGGGGTGATACAAGCCCCTGAAGTAAGACTATGATCGTGAATTATGTATTCATCTGAAAAGAGTATGCAAGGTCCACTAATACTAACTTAGCAATTTCTTTTCAGGTGAAAGATCATAACAGTTATGAAAGTAAATTGAGCAGTTGCAAAAAAACCGAGGAAAAAAATCGCCTTAAAGGGGATTTGAACCAATAACTGCTGGAGGATACCGGTACAGTGTCCTTGTCCCTGACCTATCAATCCAAAACTGAGAGCTGATCACCTGATAAGCCTGTAGAAGATGGAGATATGAAATTAAATATGATGATCCTTGCGATGATCTTTTGTGAGTTAAATTTTTCTCTCACAGTTCAAATATATGAAATTTCATTCACTTTAAGAATTTCTTCGAGTTAGTGACTGCAATATTCCACCATTTTAACTGGTGAACAAAGCAGGAGAAGAAGTCACAAAATAAATTTTACCCCATGTCTGCAAGAAATTCATGAAGTTTCTTCTTTCCCTTGATTGTCCAAACTCTGAACCTAAGAAAAGATGTGTTGCCATTCAATGGTTGTTCTAAGCGGTCGCCTTTAATCGTAGACAAAATTATAAGTATACTATGTCTTGACTACCAACAGCTGTTGGGGAAAGCGAGACCGCCCTCCTCCAGACAGGACTGGAGAGAGCGGTGGAAATCGAGCCTAAAGCATACCAGCCGCTTATTTACAACTAACTTTTTATATCTCTGTAAATTGTAAATTGTATTGTAATTTGTTTACCCACGAAGCACTTAGGAGTTCTTGTGAACTCGTTTAAACGTGTCCGTGTGTTCCAGATCGAATTGGAATTTGGAAGTGTTGGTTTTTTTAATCTCTCACACAAAAACCCATAAAAAACGAAGAAGGAAGCACTGGGACTGATAAAATTTTTCTTCCCAACAGCTAGAATTCAAAATTAACAGAAATGTCAGCCTGGTCCAGGCTCCAAGATAGCAGTGCTGTCGTGCAGTAGAAAGTAATGCAAAAAACGCGCGGGGGCTGGGGAGAGAGAGTGGGCGGTGGTGCTATTTTTTCCCGCCAGTGCCACCGCCCCCTTCCCCAGATCGCGCGCGTCTTATTTTCGCGACGTTCCCACCATCTAAGATCCTGGCACAGCCTACAAAACACAAACCTGCAGGCAGTGTAGCGTGAGTGACAGATGCTGTCAAAAAGTGACCAATGTCTGTACAGTGACAGGCGTAGTCTGGATTGCTATATCAAGGACACAACGTTTTAAGCTTATTATTAAAACTTCTGATTCAATACCCTTCCAAATAACATTGTTAGTCCGTAAGCAGTGTTCCCTGACGATCCAGGTAGCTTTTCTTTTTCTGTGTTATCATTTAAGAGTCAGAGAGTACTTGTCTTAATGCATTGTACGTCAGTAAGTGCTGTGTTAATTTGATCACTTATCTTCTGTGTTTTATTTATCTTAAGTTGCAATCTGCAAGGCTTTCTAATAGTTTAAGGTTTTTGTTTTTAATAAATTGTGTTATTCATGTACTTGTGTTGCCCCGGCACGACTAGCTTTCCAGCCGTATTTGCGGGACAAACTATCCAACTTTGTACAAAGAATAAAGTTGCTGTTGTTGTTGTCCATGGACAACACTACAAACCAATTTAGCCTGTGTGGCAGGCGCAAAAAGCAGAGGATGAGAGGAAGAAAAGCGCGAAAGGACAAAGGGAAGGGAATCCCCCTCCTTTTTCCCTTTCTCCCAATTCCCTACTCCTTTCAACGTCTGCTACGCAGAAACCAAAAACCGGCTGAAACCAATTTTTTAAGGCTAGTTCGCTATAAAACAACATGAAGACCGGCAGCACCTGAATCCACACTTTCCCCTCTCTTGTTCACACTCTTGCCTTAGACATTGAGGCACAAGGTATTTCCACGTTATTCAATCTTGAACGTGTGTTTCATAAGGCCACGCCCTATTTTAACCTAATTTATAGATTATGAACATTCCAGCCGTGATTGCTATGTCACATAAATTTCGAGATTTGGAATTTTTTACACGTAAATTCAGTCATTTTAAAAGTAAAATTAAACTTTGAAATATCAGCTCTTTTTTGTGTGCGGTCTCTACCTTTAAATCGAAACACTCCGAGAGATTTCCAAAGAGTAGCAAACGTTACTTCCAGAGAACTACAGATGCCGAAACAGTTTTGACTATCTCAAAGAGAAACATCTTCAGTTAGAAAGGATACTCTGTATCAAATACAATCTTCAGGCAGTTGATGGAGCTTCCATTTTCGTCTGTCCCATGATTGTGTCTCATCACATGTTCATGAAGATTTTGTGCATCTGACACATACTTGTCACTAAAATACACAAGAAAATTTTTTTTTTTTTACACTACAGCAACAACCCTTTCGACTGCCGGCCGTGAATCGGAATGAAACACTAAAAAAAAAGCCTGATAGAGCGGCAAAGTGTCAAGGAACTGGGGAAATATCTTCGTTATACAGGGTTCGTACCCTTTTTTGAACAAAAACTTCAAGGGCTTTTCAAAGACTTTCAAGGACACATTTCGCAATTTTCAAGGACTCCATTCAGTGCAAAAAAGAGATTTGAGTCTATGTCTTTTTTAGTTCTACCACAACATGAGCAATTTTATCCTGAAGGTCTTTCATATTAGGTACTTGAGAATCTGGGTTGGATAAAGTTACCACCGAAATTCAAGGACTTTCCAGCACCGACTGCAATTTTCAAGGACTTTCAAGGCCTTGAACGTTTAATTTCGACTTTCAACGACTTTCAAGGTGCGTGCGAACCCTGGTTATAACGGGTGTACGAATATCGGTGTCTTGTTCCATGCATTAACCAATACACTGGCACGCGGTCAATACGGACATCAAGGGTACATGCCATAGTGTCCATATTATCCGAGTATCCATATTAACCGGGCTGCAAGAAAACACGTCACACAAACAACACAGCAGCGTTTTCAAATTAGAAATTAAGCTTTATATATGGAAACAATTTTCAAAAAGCTTCACTTTTGGTGATCGAAGAGCGCGGTTTTAGGATGGAAGACCAGATGGTCGACAAAATGACACGTTTTCATATTCATCCGGGTTAGTGTGAGTGAACCTTAAAATCATATCTTCCCACATACCTGTCAATTTTTTCATAGAGATACTGATGAGTTAAGCCAATTGCCGCCCACCATAGCAAGTCATTGCTGTCTTTACTCATTTTCCAGGCTAACTCATACATGATCAGGGAAGCCTGAAACGGAAAAAACGACAGCGTATTACAACAAACAAACAAAACGCAATGATGTAGAATTAAAGAAAATAATAAATGTTATTGTGGTGATATTCTTCCCTTCGCTTAAGCGCATTTTTGTCAAGAGCGGAAAGAACAAACACTACAAAATACGGAGAATAATGAGTGTTCCATGATCACCATTGTTTGGTGTTATGGTTTCCATATATGATCGCTACAAACGCTGAAAACATTACGGGCAATTGTACGTAGTGACCATATCAATACAAGACGATCTCTATGATAGTTTTAAATAATGAGTTCCTCCTGTTTAATCGCTGCAATCAGTCGTCGATATCGACACCTGAACCTTTTTTCACCGATCCTAGCGTTCACATTGGCCAATTTGACTTGACCTGTGTCGGCGCTCTGTACAGTTGCTCTAGGGACTGTTTTGAAGAAGCTCTATAAACTTCTTTTATTGGCTGTTACGAAGAGTCACGGGAAACTGGGTCTGAATTCCTCCCAAAACAGTCCCATAGTGCAATGTGCCACTTAAGAAACGAGAAGGGAACTGGACCGAATTAACTTTCGCAAAGACTTCTGGGACTTCTCTTTCTAAGGGCAGGGAAAAAATTGGCCAATAACTGACCGGTGTGTCCCCAGTAACGATCCCAGAAACAATTTCAGCTCCAGGCGCCTTCTCCCGCGCCCTCCCGCGCAGCCGTAAGATGGCCACTAGCAACCACACTTTGTCAGAAAATACTTACTGCACTTCCATGGAAGGCATACGCATAATACTGGTACAGAATCTCCTGCCTGTTAAAATGAATCAATAAAAAAGCAGAATCACAAAATTCAAGTGATGTGCAATCTCAAATGTGATGAAAATATTTTAAGAACCTTTTCTCACCTGTCCTGGTGCCACTGTCTTTTTGACTTGCGTTTGGAAAGAGGGGAATCCTAGGAGATAGAGCAAACCTTTTATTAACTAAAAGACATCTCCGAAAAGGACAAATCCATGTGTATAGAGCATCACAGAGGTGTCCTTATTATAAAGGTGGGGATTGTATGATGTTTTCTGTCTTTAAGACCAAAAGACCTGTCCATGTTTTAGAGGTATCCACAAGGAAATGTCTGTAGTTAAAACAAACATGCAAAGGAGTGTTTCACCTTATATCTGTACACCTGGGAAGGTTTTCATTTCATATCCAGACAACAAGAAGCCGGTTGCAAAAAATAAAGTGCAGTAGAATTTCTAAGGTGAAACACTTGAGAACTTGATCATAACAAACCTTGATGATAACCTTTTGTAATAGACCTTGTCACGGTTTTCGACGCCATCTTGACGAGTAGGCAAACGTGTGAGAAATTACAATTACAATTATTACAATTGTTGATTACACCCACTCTTGAATATATAATTATACCTCATCAGTGGTTCTTCTTCTTTTTGAAGAAGGCTCCGATCCTTCTCCATCAGAGTCTTCAAACTCATCCTACCAACAAATGTAACAAAATGATGACATGTATAAAATAACTTAAATAACAATCTGGGCCGGGTTGTTCGAAGCTGGGTTAAGATAACCCTGGGTTAGTGCGAAATTTGAACACCAGATGTGAGAGATTAAAAAGCAAATTCAGTTTAATTCTCCTTGCCTACAATTTGATAATTGGATACTCTAAAAAGAATAGAGAAAATTATCCGAGAAAGTGTGAAACTGTAAGGTTATGTTCACACTTGTGGCAATGGCACAGCACCGCATGACAGTAGTTGGTGCCTGAGCACTTCTGCCTGGGTACTGGTATGAAATATGTAACTGTGTACATATTAATCCATTCAGCCCACTGTCAGACACCATTTCCACTTGAGGGTAAGTAAAGTGTAGAGTTTCTTCCTTGTACTTAGTGCATGCATGAAGAGATAATGATTTTCAGATTAACATAGGTTAATTGTTTATGCAAAAATTCTGTAAGTTGTCATTTACTGTATTACTGTATAAATTGCCAACCTACCAACACCTCACTCTTAAATTTCTTCTGAGATCTCTCACTTAACTTACTTTCATGTAAATCTCAATAATACAAAGTGGTTAAGCTTTAAAACCTTTAAAATAACAAAAATGAAGAGATCCCTTAGTATCACCCACAATAAAATGACATCGCTTTAGATAAAAATTACATGTAATTTATTTTATCTAATTAACCCTCCCACCCATACCCCTTACCTGTAGGTTGATTAAATTAGTTGGACTACTGTAAGCCTCATTCAAGACAATATTATTTTGGTCCTAAACTTAAGAAAAAAAATGTTACCTCTGAATCTACATAGATATCATCAAAGTCTGGAATTGTAAGGTGCTCCCCTTCCTTCATTAACAGCTTGACTTGATCCTGGTTGTAAATATTGTCAAGATCCAGTGGTCTGTGACTATTAATACATAAAACAAAATGGTAAATGCTTTTGTTTATGTATCAATCAAATCCAAAATTTCTCACAAACCATGCAACCCCTGAAATTTGACTCATAGATGTAACTGGGATATGATAACAGTGCCTAGGCTGATACTAGGGGGCAGGAGGTGTTTGTACAAAAGAATCTTGATTTCTCAAAACATTATTTTTTTTTAATTCCTGGCCCCGGTTGTTCAAACGGCGGATAGTACTATCCACCAGATAAATCACTATCCAGTAGATAGCGTAATTGATTTCCGTAACACTTATCCGCTGGATAGTGATTTATCCGGTAGATAGCGCAATCTAACGTTTGAACAACCGGGGCCTGATAAATAATTTCAATCAAACCAAACTTCCAGTTAACAGTCAAACCAATTTGCCTTTCCCAAGATTGTTAAAAAAATCAGGATTCCACTGTATATAATATCAAATCAAAATTGCATCAATTTCATGTTGAGGCAGAGTTTTTTTTAAAATAAATCATGGTGGAGATGGAAGATATCGAGAAAATTTAGGGAAAACTTTATAATATCATGTAGAGAGGAATGCCAATTGCCGTGGGCTACATTTCAAGGACATTAATGATTATAATGTGTTCCTTTTCAAACTTTATCAAATTTCTCACCATCCTTTGTCCCAGTTGTAGAGGGAAATCTGATCACCCATTCTGATTATAACTTGGAGTATAAATTATTTTTTAGGCAACATGACTTTATTGAAATGGAAAACAATACCAGCTTCTAACAAAAAATAGGTTAAGTTTCTTTTTTTCTGTCTATGTAGTGTATGTTATTATCTACCTTTTCTCCCTTTTTTTTGGTTTCTTTTGTTGTGTAGAGCTAAATCGAGTTGCATCTAGCCCCTTCAACGTTTGTAATAGTATACTCTGTAGTGTACCAGAACATTCATAAATTGAAAAAACATGGTATTTAATTTATTTTAATCACAAAATATCTGAACAACTCAGTTTTCTCAAGTTCAAATGCCAGGAGGCATGAACAATACGTGGATCAGACCAAGCAATGTAAGTCAGTGAATGACAAAAGGATAGGGATATGGATTTCAAACAACAGGAATAATATTGGATGGGGGCAAATATCAAAACCTGAAAAAAATCACTAAGGTGCCTTAATTGCAACAAAACTCCCAAAATCCCTGGACCAAAAATTAACCACAAAAAACCCATACTGCATTTTTGATCTTAAACGTTTCCAGAAAGCAAAACAAGTTCAGTTGTACTTTATTCGCAGAACTACATGTATGCAGCCAAGAAACGCGGACACTACCACAAATCTTAGATTGTTTTGAATACTCGAAAAATCCCTACTTAAATCAAGCCACCCAAAAACATACTTGCCAAATTTTCCTACCCAAAACAAAACCCCACAATCTAAAAATTTCAAACCCAGAAAATTCTATTGATCATTCCCTTCACTTGAAATCCAGAGTACCCCCATGGGGAAAAGACCCTTTTTCAAGTACCTGTCAGCAATATAAAATATGACATCTTCCTCTGGCTCTAGTATCTCAAGGATGTTCAAATTTCCACCACAGTTCACAAGAAAAATGTGCTTCAGCTAAACAAAAAAATGTCATAAATATAACACACTGCTTTTACACATGTTTTTGCTCCTCGCATGAGATTTAAAAATATTATTGATTTCTTTAACAAGTATCCAAGGGCCAGGGTACCTTACACCAAGAAGTTAGGGGTATTATTGTCCAACGGATATTACATGTGATGGCAAGCATTTGAAGTGTCTAGTATAAACCCTTGATTAATCACCATGATTATTTATATAATTAGTATAATTAAATTACGTAAAAACTTGGACCAAGGGTTTTCAATAAGACCAGAAAATATATATTAGGCAAGCTGTTGGTTTCCTTGGAGTCCAAAAATTTCAAATAATTTAAACCATTTGTAGTTGTAACTAATTTTATATAGCACCTTAGCCATCCTAAAGATGAATATTTTTTGTCCTATTGACTGATACATTAAAAGCAGTTTCAATTTAATGACATCTTCTAAATTTTAAGCAAATGTGCAACTTTTCTGCAGGCAAGAAGATCATAATAATTTGCATTAACAAACCTGTTCAGAGTGTTCATGGTAAGCTCTTACTAAATCCTCCTTGCCACTGACAGGAACAATAGTATACTGTACATTGTCACATTTAAACAGCCACTAAAAAACAACAAACAAACCCCATCATCCAGTAAATAGATTACCAGCATTGCTACAGGTGTTTGATGTGAGTCAGTTAGGAATACTACCTCTTAAAGGCCATTAGTTGGCAAAAAGTGTTTTTCTGCATTGAGCAACACACTTGTGGTGTCAACCCTTGGCAATCTCTTATTTGGCCTAGACAGCTGGAGCCTATATATTATGCGTACCCTGTAGACAGGTAAGTGCCACTGAACAGGGAATGGTTTACAGGGTCCTGGGACTTAAACAAGGTATACAATCTCACTATTTGGTGTCTTTGGATGCCTTTTAAAGAATGTGAAGGTTGGCAATGAGGGATCTACTTGTGTGATACAAAAAATGTTTTCCCAATCAATCGAATTCCATGGTGTTAGTTGCAAACAAACTATTTGAATCAAGGAGCAGGGTTAGGGTTTGAAGACCTTGGCAGCACATCTCTACCCAAGTTTCCTTCGAGTGCCACCCGCAGGG